ACTATTTGCTCTTCACATTTTTGTGTTTTCCCTACTCTACACACCTGACCCAGCTAACAAGGTACTTGTTAATTAGCTAACATATTATATTAGGTGTGTTCTTAGCGACAATGCACAAAAATGTGGATTGGGAATAAAAGATACAGAGAAAATGAGACTCCTAACAACCCTGGAAGGCCTGGTAGATACCAAAACTGTCCCCATCAGATAAACAGTACTTAAAGCTTTGATCTTTGAGAGAGAGGAGAAAATCAAGCTGCTTCAGATCTGAAAAAATCAACAGGTGCTTCTGTCCATCCTTCCACTGTGAGAAGACAACTCAGCGCTATGGGTCTGAAAGGATGTGTAGCTATCAAGAAACCCTTAGAAAGGAAATTGGAAGAAAGTAGGTATCTGAGATGTGAAGTAAAATTTTATGGAGTCTAAATTTTTAATCATATTTATGGGTTGTGAGAAGCAGAAAATGTAACTTCTAAAACTGAACTTTGGAGGTGAAAAAATATCCCTGCAGGTTTCTTTAAAAAATGTAAGCAGGTCTCTCTGATGCTCTGTATGTCTGATGCTCATTTTTGCTTATAAGCTAATGTGATTTAAGCATTTTACAAAACTATCCTGTAGATCACTTCAACTAGTTTACATTTCTACCAAATTTAAAGAATAGAATTGTAAGAATAGAATAAAATCGAATATATTACTAGTTATAGAATGAAATAATTAAATAGCAGTTCTGAGCTGTGTACAAACAGTGGATCTGTTTTTCAGACACAGATGTTTAATCGTGCTGTTCAGCAATAGGGATGAAAGTATATTCACTTACTACACTTATTAACATACTACATGTCCTTATAGAGTGCTGCCAGGCCACTGCTGCCTTAGTGCAATCCTATTACAAACCGCAAAGCTGGTCAAACCTAAGTGTAGTGGACAGCAAAGAAAACTCCAAAGTATGGCAGCATAAAATTGCGTTTTTAGTGGTTTGCTTATGTATTTTGTATGTACTATGTAAAGGGAAAGTGGCAGTTATTTCTTTGTGTCTTTAAGCTACAGGACTGTAAGCAGCAATGAAAATGTCTTGGGGTAATCCCCCCCGTCCTGTTAGAGAAATGGATGATGCCATTGCCTAGGTGAGCTCATTCGGCTCGTGGGATTGGCTGTGTTGTGTGAGCTCATTGTTTTGGTGGGCACTAAACTCTCCTCAGTGCTCTGCTGTGTAGGCTACATTATGGCGTTCCCTGGAGAGGACTACACCCCCGCTTCACTCACCTGATCAGGTATTTCCTTGAAAGGATTTCATTACTTGCTTGATGCAGTGGAAGCTTCACAAAACAGGTTATTTTTTCTGAATGGGGATCAAATATTAGAACTTAAGCATTTCTTGCTTATCTGTTGGGGTTACAGACTAACAGTGGGCAGTATGATGATGTTGACCGGTTATCTTAATAAATTATGCCACTCACAATATGCTGTTCTGAGCATATCATCAATACTGAAAAGAGACTGACCAACTGCATCTTTCAAAGACAGCATAATTAGTGCTGTTTCACTGGATTTAGTGCATGCAGTGTGTGAATCTCAGAAAAAACATAATTGTATTCATAGTTGTTGATAGTATTTTTAAATGTGGTACCACTGTTTTTTATATATTTCATCATCAAAACACAGAAAACAAAAATGAAATATTAAGTATGTTAAGTATCAAGAAAATACTTTAAGTATTATGATATATTTTTGCCATATCGCCCAAGAGATTAAAATAAGTTCAGTCCTCTACAGAGAACACACTTAGACACACTTTACAGCTGAATTACTGTTTATTTTTGCAATTTTACATATTGGGCCTGTGCAAAAGTTATGGTACATTTCAGATTTTATATTTTACTTGTTTCCAAGGTGTTAAACTCAGCACATAAAAGGAAATTGTGCACGAAAGTTGTGCACTATTTAAGTCTGTTCCCTCTACAGAATGTGTTAACTTACTTTCACTCAGAAAATCAACAAAACATCATTTAAAAGGGGGTATTTAAAAGTAAGCTTACTAGAGCTTATGGCTAAAGAAAGCTAAAGGAAGTGATGGCAGAGTGCACAGAATGTAAGGAATGCGTAATTGTAGAATATCAGCGGAAATGACATTGCTCATGTCAACATCTCCAGGATATTATGCTTAACTAATTTATGCTTTACTTTATTAATTATAGCATTTTCCCTAAAATTGAACTCTTGACAGAAGTTTTGGCCTTACATTTTTGCGGCACATAGCAGTGGATGGAGTTGCTGTGGTGTTTTTTTGTTCTGCTGCTTTGGATCACTGTTCTGGCTGTCCTTATCCGCCTTGGCACCTGTTGCATCACGAGACGAGGAGATGAGTAGTAGTGGGGATTCACGTCCACAGGATTTGAGAAGCTGCCAGATTTAGACACTGCTGTGGTGCTGCTGTGCTGAGGGACGGAAGCTCTGCACTGTTCACCATACTGCATTTGTTAGTTGGAGGCAAGTTGGCTATTGGTGGAAACTTAATTTTTATGCTAATGCTGTCACATTCTTGTGAGGTTGTTGTGGTAAGGGTTAGATGAGAGAAGTTAAATCAGCTTGGAAGGAAAACTGTAAATGTCACTGTCGCTCCTTGTAGTCTTGTCTTATTAAAAGTACTGTTTATTTGCCTTAATTATGGAGATGTTCCCCACTAAGGGGGCTCGTATGATTTAAGACGAGAATACTAAAGATTTATTGAGTCTGATTTAGTTTTTAAGTGTTTTTTGTTTTCTTTATTTGTGAAATATTAGCTAAAAGTATGCACAAAAATACTTTACGTGGCTTTCCATGGTGTGTAGAACTGCTTTCCATTTCAGGTTTGTAAAGGCTTGTAAAACTGCAAGCCAGTCAGTGACATCAGATCCTCAGGTTTCATGTGAGCTGAAAATATTAAGCATAAAATTGGTAATGCAGCAGATTCATTCAAGTAGTTAAAAAACAGAAATTCCAGGCGAGTTATAAGATTCTTAATTATCTGTTTATAACAGACTGATAACAATACCTAACAATACTGGTGTCTGCCATCTGTATTGTTTACTCTGTCTATTAGATTTGCCCAGTAGACGTCCAGTTTCCTCAGCTTTAGCAGTTCTGATGTAATGGGCTAATTTCTTTTACACAGTTTATTTAGCATGGTGCAGAGCTCTGTTACATAGTCAAATGATATTTTCTATTGAGCATCATAACTGTGCTGTCAGTTAAAGTAAAACCATCCACAACATTGTGGTGTTGGGCGTTTGGAAGTCTCTGTGAATGTTATTGCAGTGCGTGTGCTCTATGGTAAGGCGAATATTAGGCCTGTTGTGAGAATGGTGTGAAAAGTCTCTTTGGTTGGTGTGCAGTGGGCTCTGGCAGGGTCTAGGGTCCCCTGTTATCAGTAAGCCTGCTTGTGATTATGGTGGCAATTTCTTTTGTGTTCAGTCTGTCTGACTCTATTCAGCAAATCGCCCAGGCTCATGGCTGACCTCTGCCCCGCACAGAGGCTGCTGAGGCTCCCAGCACCTGGTGACTCAGTTAATGAAGAATTTAACCAGTGGTTGTTTTATTTATCTCCCGTTGAGCTAGCCATGCTCCGCCCACCAGTGCACTCTTTTGTAGCAGCTGGACAAGCTTATGATATTGTTGCTATCATTGCCTTGTATCACCAAAATGATCATTTTAAATGGACATTAATGGAACTAATTTTGTTTCCAAGTAATTTTGGACCATTTTTATTGCTCTAGTCATTTCTATTACGTTTTCAAATTATGCTAAAGAAAAAATAAAGAATTGCAGATGATTTGTCCAGAGAGCGATGGTAGGGATATTTAGAGTGCATTGTTACTTTCAAATTATATTTTAAAATTAATTATTTTTGTTGAGTAATTAAGCTAACATTAGCATTGTCACAAATTTGTTGTTGTTTCCAGCCTACCTAGTTTGAATGAGCTACAACACCATAGTCCAACTGTTGAAACTTTTTGAAGTTTGCCCAACCTAGCAACAGTTGATGGAGGCGTCTGTGAGCGGATCATAGAGGAGTACTTATTGTAAAATTTGAGGAAATGAAGGATTTAAGCGCCAAGTAGGGGGTTCCCCATTCGCCCTGTCATCGGAAGATCATGAGTTTGATTCTTGGCAATGCCACAGCGAGAAGGCGTCTGTCCTTGCCCTCTGTGGATGGATAGGATGGTCCTCCCTCTTCCCCACTCAGTGTGATCGTAGCCAATGTGGGCACCCTACCCACCCCTCCCACCCTCCTAGCATTGTATGATCAGGGAGACCGAGCAGGTAGAATTGGCAAACCTCAACTGGGGAGAAAAGGCCAATAAGAGAAGTGCAGGATGAACACCATTTGAGTTTTAAACTGCCTTCTGTTTATATGTTGGAGAAACACTGGAGAAAACAATTTCTCATAAATTAGGTCAATAATGTAATCAATAAATTCTAAGAATGTGGCCCAGTTTCTGTTCTAATGCCACATAACACTAGAAAGTAGATTTAGATTGTTGTGTGGGCCTCTGTATTAGATCTTTTGTTTATTTATTCATTATTTCTGTTTTTAATACCTTCACAACAAAAAAACTGTAGTAATACAGTAAGAAACTAAGATTTGTATTAATTAATACAAATTAAGTAATTAATACATTAATTACATATTTTAGCTTAACACTGCACTGCAAAAAATAGTATCTTGTCAAGTGAAATTATCTCAATTCTATATATATGTATATAGATTGTTTTAAGTAATTTTATCAAGAAAAATTATCTCACTATATTGGCAGATAAGCTGATAATTGCTGGTTTTAAGCTATAAAAAAAATATCTGGCAATATAGTTAGATAAATTTATTTAATAAAATCACATTAAAAACAAGTACTAATATTGGGAAAATATTTTAGTTAAAAAATCTTAAAATAAACTTAGAATGATCTCAACAGGAGGAATATTAGATTTACTGACTAGATTCAAGATACTTTTACCTGACAAGACACCATTTTTTGGTAGTGTGGTTGGGCTTATCTGAAATAATGTAGTGCACAAATAACTACAGCTTCACAGAATTATGTGTAGAAGCAAACAAAGCTGTCGAGTGTGAAAATGGGGGCAAAAACACTGTGGAGGCTAGTATAAATGCTCATAATGACAGTTTGAACTTATAGAATGATAGAATGATCTTAGCAAGCTTTTTAAGGAATATTCTAAAAACAGCAATCAACACATTGACACACCATTCTAGTTTACTGGTCACTGAAAGAGTAAAAAATGGGCTATATTGTTGTTGGCTTCAGTCACTAAAGACACAGTAGATCACCCTCGAGTACCATTAGGTCCATGTTGATCAAATAGCCAAAAACTGTAAAACTGTAACCTTCAGTATTGGACTGATGGCCAGTGTAAAATGTTATATAGGGATCCTATAGAAACTTTTATTACTGCGCTTTTTTAAGGATAAGGGACGTTTAACTTTTTCCTAGTGGGACCTAGGATGGTACCAGCCTTTACATAAATTTGGCCATGTGCACCCCCATTCTGTTGTTTAATTAAATATCAACTACAAAAATATTAACTTTCACTTCTGATGTCTTACACATAGTTTTGTGTTGAAGGCTCTTTCAGCCAAGGAGCTTCAGCGTAGACGGTTCAATGCTGAACCTGTTATTGTCAACACAGATATGTACAGTTTCTGTTCTTACTAAATAAGTTCAGTTAATAGGTCACATAAACACGGGATTACAGTGTGGCGTAAGAGAGTGTAATCTTCATATGACTCATACAGGACATTTACTAAGACTCTGTCTTTACGCAGAACTCTACAGACATCCTGCTATTAGATGAACCTTTAGTCACTTGTTGCATGCGGGAGGCCTACTTCTGTATCCCCACCATTGTTTATGAGCCAATAGCCAATCAGAGAAGCAGATTATGGCTGTTGTTATGACTGGACACAGCATACCCTCCCTGTTGCTAGAGCTAAATCTTCATAATCCCCCAAGGAAATCTCCTATTGACTAGGACACATACCATCAGCCACCCACTCAGTATTGGAGGATGGTACAGGGGTGTTCGGCCTGGGTGGAGCCTTGCTTTTTTTGAGTGTGTGGGAGGAGGGTGAGGGGTGGGGGTTGATGGTCTATTGGTCAGGCTGCATTTGTCTTGAGTTATTGTCCTGAGTGTGGGGAGGCCCTGGTGTAAATGCCTTAAGATTCCTGGCTCCAGGAGGCTCCATTGTGTTCATGCACTTCTTTGAAAGCGTGAGAGGAATGCACTGGCTGGGAAATACGCATCTAAATCACCTTCAGCTAATTCTGATCCTTTATTTTGTAGAAAAGTAGAGAAACTTAAGAAAATAATAATGTATCTATTTTTCTTTTTACCACAAAGAACAGGTGAGTGGGGTGTTTTGCAATAGTTTTTACTTTTTATACCAGTTAGCATTGATTTTATTTATTGCCATGCCTATTGTTTTCATAAGAGAAAGCTACTGTTTATGTTAGGTTTTCTGTTGGAAGTTTGCATTGCTTTGTGTTTGAATTGTCGCTAAGGATGCACAATATTATCATAATCTTACTGGTATCAGCAAATAATTGACTAAAACGTAACTGGCAATTACATTTGACCAGTATTTAAAACGAATATGTTTATTGTACTAAGAAAGAGCAGAACATCTAAACAGTGCTGGGCTACTGCACTAAAATGTCTGCATTTTATTAATTCTCTCCATAAATAAATCTGTTTCTCCATAATGCCACAATTTAACTAAATTTTTGATGCATCATCAGTGGCAGATATGTGCATGAAAGAATATTGAATATTGACCCAAATTCCCATATGGGTGCATCCCTGGTACAAAATACTGCAGTGCATTATCATTAAACATCTTTACACTGAACATATTAAGGTAAACCAGGAAACAAGAGACATTTAACATTAATGGCAAACTGTAAGTTTAAAGTCTTCCACCTTAGTTGATCTCCTTTGTAAAACATGCCTTTATTATTGCTAAAAAGCATCTGATAGATGTCCTTCCTCTCAGTATCTGTCTGAGCAGTTTCAATTTGCATTTGTATAGTGGCCTAAAACCAAAACTAGCCCAGAAACTTACTTCACTGGCTAAACTGTTGCTAAGTGACATATTTGGCACCTCTTGAATAAGTTGGTTTGTGTTTTAGAAGTTAGGGAATGCTAGGAGAATATACAATCATATGCAAATGTTTGGATGCAGCAGCTCAGATTGCATGTTTTGTTGATTTTCTAAGTGAAAATAAGTTAACACATCCTTAAATATGCTATTTTCTGCACGTTTCAAGTTCAAGTTTCAATTTATTTGCTGAATTGAACATATTGTGGCAAAACATAACATATTAAGTGTGCCATTACTTTTGCACAGGCCACATTTAGTTATTTTTTCACAATGTTAAATTCAGCAAATGAAGAGTAATTGTGCATTCAAATGTGCAGAAGTTTGTTCTCTGTTGATGATGTGTTAGCCTACTTTCACTTAGAAAATCAATAAATACAAATAAATTGACTAGGATGCCCAAATTTTGTACACGATTCTATGTCACCCACATGTTTACAGTAACTGTACTGCATCATGTGATTGTAATATTTAATAAAGACTACTTCTATGCTAGTTATTCAATTAAGTGTTGAAATTTTAGTAATAGTATTTTCTAGACAGACAACAGCTTGGGCAGAATGAGTAACTCATGTTGTTACAGATTTAAAAGGCTAATCTCCCATTGAACGCATGCAGTCTCTGTAGCACCATGACCATATGGTGGCTTGATCTGACCTTTGTAGATCTCAAGGCATAGTGTTAGCCCAGGATCTGTGTACTGTACAAGTGGCATCTTTGAGTGACTTAGTTGGCGACTCTGTAAATACAGCATTAAAGGATTTCCTTGAACAACAAACAGTCTCTTGATATTTGCCTGTATGAATAACACCCTTTCAGACATGTTTGTCTGCTTTTAATTGTGTTTTCATGAGGGTTTTTGAACGTAAACAAGGTGACAGAGGTGTCAGACCTCAGGTAGCCTTCTGGTTTAGCCTGGAGATGTTGTTTTGTTTATACACTAAGTGTATAAACTAGGAATGCCTCGATACCGATACTAATATCAGGCAGATATCATGCTCATTTACTCATACTCGTATTCACTGATAACTGTTGCTACAGGTTTTTGGATCTGGCCAAACATCTCTATACGCTTTTATCATCAGGTATTTTAGGAGATTAGACAAAATGTTGAAAAGTGCACCTGATTGAGCAGTTTTTGTGTCCCCTCCTCCTTCATGCTGTACAGGAAGATGAAAATGGTGGATTTTGTAACACAAACAATGCCTGCAGAGAGTGACATACACGTGGCCAGGAGCTTTCTAACGAAGATTTTGCGAAGTTCTATGAGGTATTGTGCAACAGTTGGCCGCTTGTCAGTCCTTCCAGCAATCCCCTGTCCCATGATTCTGTACCACATACTGTTTCCTGTCCTGCTACACTCCAGCATCACCTGGTGTCTTAGCCGTGCTGTGCTTAGCTGTTATGTTCACGTGCATTCAAGGGATTGCTCATTAAATCTGTTTGCCATGCTGTCATTTTCATTGGTTCCTTGTGGTAATCCATATGGTGATTGGTATTTCTAACAACGATTAGTTCAAATGATCAGTTTTCTGTAAAGAGACAGTGCTATGTTAAGATTGTTTAATGATTGTGCCTAAAATAGGGTTTAATTGTGATCTTTGTCTTGCATGCTTCTCAGGAAGAATCGATTCAAAGGGTATGTATGTTGCAAATTGAAGTGTTTTCAGTAATTGTCTTGGACTATATTATTTCCAAGGTACCTCTCATATTTTTACTAGGGCTGCATGATAAATTGTATAGGCTTGAACTCTGCTCTCTGCTCCACATACAAAGCAAATCATTTCACCAAAACATATACATGCACAGCTAAAAATATCCTCAATCCTGAGCTACTAGGCTTCAGAAATGATGATTTCTAACTTAAAGTGTGGTGTTTAAAATGTGTGAAGCATTAATGGCTACTTTCACAACAAATGGCTGTACAGGCCTGTATAAATGAGAATATATTTATTCATTGTTTGTAGCCTTTAAACAGCAACTAATATTTAATTTTTTTTTGCACATTTGAATCGTGCTTTAATAACTGTATTTTTTGTTGCTGGCTTAAAGGGGAGTTATCTAAGTTAGTTTTTCTATGTACACAGCAAAAAAGAGTCTCTGTACTTGCAGCACATCTAGTCAGAGGCACACTATTTCAATAATAATTAACTGCTTTGATATTGTCATTGTGAAATCCATCAGCTTTATTGAACATCACATTTTATGTCCATATCATGCCCTGATCTGTACTCAAACATGCACCTGCTGGTAGAACATGGGGTCAGGAAAGTTTTTTTTCCCCAGTCTACTGGGAACAGTGCTTCATACAGTGCTTCATAACTTTTCAAACCACTGTTTTGTGTTTACCCTTCAGGAGGCATGAACCTTTTTGCAGACCCCACTCTTGGCACTCTTCCAAAGTGTCTGAAAATCCCTCAGACGTCCCTGAGACTGAATCCACTGCTGTGCTCGAACCTATCTGGCAGACAAAGTATGATGCAGGGTGAGGTTACAGAAATTCCTACCAAACACCTTTTGTTAATCAATCACTGTTGCTCATTGCTAAAATGAAAAGGTGTTGAATTATCTCAGTATATAAAACTAAAGTATTGCCATCTCTTTTTCCAGTACATCCTCAAATGACTTCACCAACTGTTGGGGCCAGACAAATCTACGACAGGTGTCCTGCAAGTTCAGCTCAGTGGGAAATATGGAAAGCCTAGAGCGCTCCTCTAGCAAGCCTCAGGGTGCAACAGACCACTCGGTGGCTGGGAAGGGTGTCTGTAAGCACGACTATAGCACACCTGACCAGAGTTTGTCGAGAAGTGGTGCTGCCCCCACAGACTGTATGTTTTATCGGGGCAGCCCAAGTGAACGCCACAGGTACCTACAGATTCCTATGAGCAATGGAGGTCGGGTCAGCCCTAAGATAGATGACCAGACTGGTTCCAGATTCTGCTCCTCAGGGAGGCCGAATCTTAACCCTGTTTGGCATGTTCCAGAGAAGTCTTCAGCCACCCACTCTCCACCACCACCTCTGCCACCCCTACGCAGCGACAGTTTTGCAGCAACTAAGATTCATGAAAAGGGATTAGTGATCCCATACCCACAAGGACCTCCTGCATATCCCCATCAGAAATCCCACAGCAGAGGTACAGAGAGACAGTTTGATGATTACCATGTCAGAGAAAGAGGACCTGAATCACGATGTAGCTACAACCCACCGTCTAAGAAGGATTTTCTCCGTGTATACCTTTCTCCTGAGGACTACAACCCAAATCAGCTGAATCCAAACAAGCTTGTTTCCCTATCTAGCACTGATGTGAGACAAGGCCAAAACCCATTTGCCTGTCAGCCTCAACATCAGCGGCAGCACAGCGATGAGGGCCCCTTCTACCTGCATCCCAGGAACATATCGGCACCCAAGACGCAGACTGTCGGCACCTATTACCGCAGTCTACAGCATCTACCCACCAATGCAGGAGCCCAGAACCAAGCTAGAAGCTCCACGGCATCTCTGTCTAGCACAGCTCCAGACAACAACCCTGATGGAATGGCACATTTCCGATACTATTGCATCACTGCCCAGCAGCCTACACAGGAGGTGCCAGAAGGAAGAGTGGAGGACGGATGGAGGCCAGAATCTGAGATGACCCAGGCTGTTAGCGATTGGAACCCAGCAAATACTCAAAAGGCCATAAAAACTAAGTACCCTCCACCTTACCTGCAGGCATCTGAGAACAAAAACTCTAATGGGTACTGCAAACAGACGGTCAGCCCTCCAGCATCAGAAGTTACCTCTCCAGGACAAGGTCCTGTGATTGTGAAGTTTGGCTCAGGGGAGAAAGAGAAGGAAAATCAATGGAAGAAAGATGTAGGAACTGCTGAGAACCTTCAAAGCAAGCACTCACTGAACCACCAGGCAGAGCAGAGAAATCCTGCCACCACAGCACACCGAAATACCCCAAAGGATCCTTGGATCTCCAAGAACGAACATAAGATCTGTCCACAGAAGACCCCATTGTTGCATTCTCTAGCTCAGGAGAGCAAGATGATGGCTGACAATACTATGGGGACAGCCAATGGAGGCACCCAGCAAGAGACACTTGATCCTTCAAGTGGCAAGCAGGGAAGGAGAAGTGACCGTTATGCCACCACCTTGCGTAACGAGATCCAAGAGAAGAGAGCCCAGCTTCAGAAGAGCCGAAGTGCTGCCACCTTAAGTTGTCCTGGTGAGACTGAGGAGGACGCTGGTATCTGGAAGTCCACAGAAACTTCAACGTCATCATCAGATGGGTCATTTACAAACACCTACAAGGACAACCTAAAAGAGGCTCAAGCTAGGGTTCTACAGGCCACATCATTTAAGAGGAGAGACCTTGAGCTTCCAGGGAATGAAGCTTCTACAATTCAATCATCTACAAAAGCAGATTCTAATAATGGCCAAATCACTCGTATTGGAAGCCGAAAACGGTTCCCCATGGACAAGAAAATACATTCCTTCTCAGAGCCTGACAAGATTAATGAAGTGGGGGTGGAGGAAAAAGGCCAAGCAGCTATTGGTTCTTTTGTAGATAGATGCAAGTTCTTTGAAGGAGCTTCTAGACCCACGTTCTCCAGACCTATCCCAAAGAAGTCTAACCTCAGCCCCAGTGAAGACGTCAGTGGAGGGAAAAACAGTTTTATAGGTGAAAATGATCGAAAGTCCTTCTCCAGACATCATTTTGGGACAAGTAAAGCGACCGCAGCTGAGGAGCAACAGCGGCTGGGAACTTTTGCAGAATATGAGGCAACATGGAATTTGCAGAGGAAGTCAACAGAAGGAAGAACATCCAGCAGGTATCGCTCAGCAGAGAACATTTTGGATTCGGGGATAGAGGAACGCAACAGCTCTGTTTGTATTCATGAAAGGTCCAGATCTTCTCCTTCAGCAGACTTCCATGAGGGAGTAAGTTCTTTACACATCTGTTATATTGTCCAAGGCGTTTGGTCCATTATCCAGTGAACCTTACGTGTTGGGCTCATGTTGAGTTCTTTTGCTTTATGTAATTTGTTACTGTACTGCAGACAATTTCGGTGATGATAAGACAATGATGATGATAGGTGGTACCATTTCAGTAGTGAAAAAAGCTGAACAATTGCAGCATCAGTTAATCATGGTCTTTGTACTCCAGACTCCCTGCTCTTAATAGTTATGACTGGTTGATTCCTTCCTTTTAAAATTGTCTTAAAAAGTATTGGTCACCCTACGCTATGATGAAGATGTTTGTAATTGCTTGGATGTGTGTCTTTTGTAGAAAGTCAGTCTGCCATCACAGAAGTCTGAGGAAGAGTCTCATCCAGAAAGCAAGCTGGATCAACAAGAGCTTCCTATTGACAGGTTAGAATCTCTTCACTGTCCTTCAGCGCCTCTCATCCAGTTACTGGTACCGAATACATTGTACATTGTACCATTCCTTGGATTTCCAGCCACCTGTGTCAGCAAACCTCATGAAGACAAACGTAGCACCAGATAAAAAAAAATAATATCTTTGTTTATACAACATTTTTCATATTCGTGGCTCCTTTGGTATTAAAAATATAAATACCAAAAGAGACATAGAATTTAATAGATAAACATGAACAACGGACAATGTCTAGGTTGTTGTTGAGTCTGTGATGTGAAATTAGACTTCATGATTCAAGTAAACACAGCTCCAAAGCAACATTTATCTATTTTTAGGCATAGTCCTCAAAGATGAAGGAACAGTTCTTCAAAAAATCAAATTCATGCAACATCCACTTACAGATGTTGTTGATCAGCCAAGACATGTTTGGTGCTTCTTGAGCTTTGAGGCTAATGTTGCTAATGTCTTCACACACTGACTAGTCTGCATGACCTTATTAAATAGCTGAATGTGGTTTAAGCAGGTAGCGAATGGTTTTGAGGATGTATCTACAGAAAAAGATTTGGGTGACTATTGACTGCTAGTATTTGTTAGCAGTGTAAGCCTTGTAGATCCAGGGGCAAACTGAAAAAGCTAAATTTGGACATCAAATATGTCTTGGCTAATCGGCTACAACAAATCATTCCCTGAAGATACTCTAAGATATTTAGATGTTGCATGTGAGCCTGTGCATGTGAGACTATGTAGTGGGAATTTAATCAACACATACATAGTTCTCTAGGTGTACTCCTCCCATAGCCAGACACATGATCTTGTTTAAAAACAGATAAAATACAGTAAACAAATGTTCCTCTTCAGTTTGCATTATCTTGCACATTTTATCTGATCGAATAACATTCTTCTTTCTGTATTAAACTGACTAAACTGTCTTTTTCCAGACCCATTAAAGTGATTGATATGTGTTCTTGTGTTCTGTACTGCTGGCATGGTAATGTAGACTTACATTTACACAAGGCTGGACAAAAGCAGGCTGGTGATGAGCGTGTCAGTACAGCTAGCTAAAACTGCTCAGATTACCAGTGACAGGGAGTGTTCAGCTCCACCCAGAATACAGTGTAAACCTATTCTGTTCTCAGGTGTCACCACCATGCAGAAAATAATCTGGCAGACCACAGAAAGCTGCTGTTTGAAGAAAAAATAAACTGGAAAAAACGTTTAAAGTTTAGGATTTGGTTTCCAGTGAGAAATCATTTTTATACTTTTTTTAACATAAACTATATCGTCATTTAATGCAAGGAGTGTGATTTTAGTCAAACATTCAACATAAATGTGTTTTATGTACACTACCATTCAAAAGTTTAGAATCACTGTTTAAAAGTTATGACTCAGTGTTTTTTATACTGTTAAAACAATTTGCTTGCTGACAGATGTATAAAATGATCCTAATATGCTCATGCTGTGCAATTTCACAATCAACAGTAATAATCAGTAAGACACCAGGAAGCTGTACATAAAATTGACTTTTTATTCAGAAAGATGAACAGAACTGTAGAAGATCCTAAAATGACTGAGAAAGCTGTGTAGTATAGAGAAGTATGTTATAATAAGATCTAGAATTTGTCATGTTTCCGAAGGTGAAGATCGAACCTGAAGGCAGATAACCTGACAAAAAATGTTTATGGATAATTATGGAAATTTTTATCATTTTATTTTTAGATTCATATTAAATATAACCTCACATTTTGCCAGTATTGAATAAAAGATCAAAAATACATTTGAATTTGCTCAAATAAACATAAAGCATAGCCTGTGCAAAAGTTGTAGCATATTTTATGTTTTATTATTTTAATATGTTAAACATATACATATATAATAGGAATATTTACGTCTGTATACACACATACATACACATACATGGATACATATATTGCCAAATTATTTATCCATAAAAATAATGTACTGTCACATTAAGTAACATGATTTAGAGTAAATGACATCATTTTAGTCCTCAGAAGAGCTTCGAAAGCTAGTAGGTCTTGCTTTTTTTCAGCATTGATAATTTGTTGTTTTTTCCATCCTTATCAGGATCCGTCACACGTGATGTCCACCTCATCAGACAAAATAAACAGAGAAAGCTGTTTTTATTCATTTTTTGCAATATTCACAGAACAGTCATGTAATTTACTAATGATAAATGGCCATTAGAAGGTCTAACCTTGATAACAGGGAGTGTGATGGCCAGTTTTGAATGAAATATTGCATCCTGTTCACGTTACCTTCAAAACTCAAAATTCTCACAAAATTATAAAAAAATGCTTTGTTGGGGTGGGCAGATGAGATTTCATTCTTTAGAGTATACGACCTCTTGTTGTGAAACAATTTTAAACTACATATATTTCATTCTCTATGTGTTTTTCCCATTACAGTACATCTGAGAGAGGACACTGCCAGCTCATCATCTCTGAGTCTCTGGATACAGGAAGTGATCCTGATCACAGAGACATGACAGCACCACTCCCCTCTACCCACACCACCAAAGCGTCCAGCCCACTACCTCCACACCCTCATCACCTCCACGTCCAAGACCCTGTGCTTGAGCAACTGCTTCCTCCCAACAATGCGGGCCCTGCGCCACAAAAACCTGCCCAGCCCAGAGAGGACCAGTCTACACAGCTGGAAACCACATGCCCATCAAGCTCCCTGGAAGCCCTCCCAAGCCTGGGTCACTCCCCAGAGAAAGACCCACATCCTGCTATAGCACTAGGCCCTGACTGGAGGTCAGAAAATGACAATCCTTTCTCTGAAGTGACTGCACCCTTGGTGAATGGGTCTACACAGTTTTTGCCCCAGAAGCTGACTGATGAACCTCTTGCCAGCATGCAGCATCGAGATGTTTGCAGGTGAGTACTCAAAATACTAATCTCAGCATTCACAAGTTTATTTAAAGTGATGCTTTGGCTGCGAGTTACACCAAATGTAGTCGATCAGCCTAGACATGTCTGTTGTCTGAAGTTTCCTTCTTTAGTTTTGCACTTGTGCTATGAGACTAATGTAGCTAACAAGTATTGTAAGCTTTTAGCCACCAGTTAGTCTCCAACAAACTGCATGCCTACATACAAATATGTACCTTTTACCTGGGAGAAACATATTTAAGATACACAATTGGACCTTAAAACCACTGATGTACCTTTGAGGGAACATTTACATTGTTTGTACCTTGATGAATGAAAAATGTACCTGCACAGAACCTTTTTTCTTACAGTCTATGTGACATACTAGTCAGCGCCGTTACTGAATATTTAGGGGCCTTAAGTGTCATCAAACTTCTGGCACCAAACATGTTTTGACCTGTTTTGATTGACTATATTTGGCATAAGGGGAAAACTGTATTCAGTGGTTTTTGGCTGAACCACTGCTTAAATCACAAGTATATTTACACAGAAGTGTTGTTGTTTTGGCTGAAATGAATTAAGTGAACCTTGAATTAATTAACCTTGAATTAAGTGTTATATAAGGTATCATATCATATACACCATGTTCTTTGTGATATATACAGTTGTATGCAAAAGTTTAAACACCCCAAGTCAAATTACATGTTTTGTTGATTTCTGTGTGGAAATAAGTTAACACATCCTCTACAGGGAACAAACGTGGCATATTTCTGCAAATTTTAGGCCACAGTTTCTGTATGTTTAACATATTAAGGGCAAAAACACATAAAATATAAAAAATTTTTGCACAGGGCACGTTTTATGTTTTTATGTCCAGTGGTAAATTCGGCAAATAAACTGTAATTGTGTATTAAAATGTGCAGAAATAGAGGATGGATTAACTTGTTTTCACTCACAACAGCAAAACAAATTATTTGACCAGGGTGCCCTAACTTTTGAACTTTTGAAGCTGTTTTGGCTAATATGAGTATTATCTCCCAATACAGTGACAAGATGGAAACTACATTAGAGCCCAGTTGCGTCGTGAAAAAAGCCCCCACAGGAACTGTCCATGCAGAAAGTCACTCTGAGGAAGAAAGGCATTTTCTGGCACAGAAGGACATGCCTGGAGGCCCTGCCGGGACAACTAACCACCAGCTATGCCGACCATACTCTCCAGAGCAGTCCCGTTCCCTGTCCCATGATTACACTTACCAAAGACCACAGAAACCTACTGACTCCAGTCCTTTAGAAGGCCAAACTATAGTTGGCCCCACTCCGGAGAACACAGAGCCGACGAGGCTGAGAACAGTTCCTGCTGGCCGCTCTGAGGAGGATGAGAAGAGAGAGGAGCTAGCCAGAGACATAATGGTGAAGGATAGGAGTCTGGTGGACATATTGGATCAGAGTAAGATGAAGACCACCATGGACCTCATGGAAGGGATCTACCCCCAGGGGGAGCAGATTCTGGAAGGTGCGCAACAAAGGAGAAAGAGTGGGCCAAAACAGACATCTCCCAAAACTACACAGGAGAGGTGAGCTGTGCGTGGGTCTGGATGTTTCTGTGTGTGAGAATTTAGTTTAGAGATACATTAACGTTCGGGTTTGAAATCATTGTTTTTTTTTTAATTATATGAAGCCAATTTATTTGCACATAAAGGTACAAAATGATTCTAATATAATGCTAGTATTCTACTATTTTATATAAGACTTAAAGTATCCATAAAGTCATAATTTAAATTTATCTTGAATAAAAATTAAATAATTAATATTTTTGGGCCAGTGTCCTGGATAGGGATTAAGCTTGCTCTTCACTCTGAGGTGGGGCCAGTGAGGAGTTTTTTCACCCTCAGCTATGTTAGCCTCAGTTAACCAGCTAGCCATGCTAACTTTGCAATTTTAGACAGTTACATGCAAAAAGAATTTTAACATCTGTGAATAATTGCTTTGTCAAGCTATAAACTTGGTTTTCTTTTTGTTGTTGTTTGCTGTGTAGCCTTTAGCACACTAACTGCAGTCATGTATGATAAATGTAGTTTACAACGTAAAGCCCAGCAAATCAAATGTTACAGTTTTATCCACCATTTTGGGGGGTTGAAAAGGAAAATGCGTTAGACAGCAGTTATTTCTGGGCAAGCTCTTCTGCTGAAGTCAGATCCCTCTCCCCTCACCTTATCTAACACACTTCACTTGAGCTAATAAAATGATGAAACAACCCTTAAGATGGCGTTGAGGATTCCCCTAAGGGGAAAGGGCAAGGCCAAGTGGACAAGGGCATGTTAAAACAGGCCTTTCAATGGAATCTCCATTAAAACTAAAAACTTCTGTGTCCAGGACAATACCTGTCCAGGAAAACAACCTTCTGTGTGTTACTGTAATACCAAGAAAACTAAAAATGATATGACACATCCTTAAACCTTAACACTTATTATTAGAATTATTATTAAAAAAAACTCCTGCTGAAATATTTATAATCAGAAGAATACTAGTTAAAATTTAAATTTATCACCTAATAAATGTTAAATCGTAAACTGAACACCAATTGCTAAATGCTAAATTGCCAAACAGTTCTTAAACAGTGCTAAGGAGAGCAAATTATGCTAATGTTAGCTTAACAGGTTAACTTAGCTCAACACTCTGACTTTCTGTCACTCCAATTTACTCTCTCAAATTTTAGTGCTTATTCTCTAAACTTGCCTGAGGGGAGCTTTAGTGAGCCGGAATTGAACCTGTGTTTAAGTGTGTGAAGCTGTTTAGCATGTTTGCTAAGTTAACACTAGCCCGGGGTGCTAACGAACATAGCAGCTTAGCTAATGGCACCGCAGCTTAGTAACTTAGCTAAGCTCCACTTAGCTAATGGCTCCACACACAAAAACGTAGGTTCATTCCCTCAGATGGGAGACTTTATGCTCTAAACATGTGTCACTGGAGTTTCAATGAGCCAAAATGAACCTTTTAATGGAATTTCCATTCAAAACTGACCTGACAGTACACTGTGATTTGTGAAACTGTAGCATGCTCTCTAAGCTATGGGTACCTGCTACTAGGCCAGCTCTACATTATATTTGTTAGTTCATTAGATAGATGTGGAATATTAAAGTTGATATTGTCAGATTTTTAAAATCTATTTTAGGTAGCATTATCCAAACAAATCAAACATTAAGTTAACTAGCCACATTAGTGCTAGCAAGTTTCCTGCCGCAAAATGGTAATCACCTCAGTAGCATATCGTTGCATATTAGTCTGTGATGGGTTCGAGCTTATTTGTGACATACAAAATGCTGTGCTGTTTCACAGAACTACTGAGAAAGCCTGTGTGCAGAGTGTTAACTTCATGCTGTAGTAATACCAATCTATATAATCATAATAAGCCAACAAAGATGTTCAACATTATAAAAGTACATTTTTGAGTGCAGGAAGCCTTTTAAGAAATGTTAAATGTGTGCAGAATGATGAACAGAGCTTTAGATGATTCTAAAATGGTTGTGAAAGCTGTATGGCAAAGAGAATGAAGTTATAATAAACTACTATCCAGAATGCAAAGTGGTGAACAAAATAAATGTGTAGTAATGAATAATATTTTTCATAAATTGATAGCTTCTTGTTGATTCTAAAAAAAGGAAACATAAACATGAAACCATAAAGCCTTCTAGTTTATGTAATATTTTATTCTAAACTGTTTAAGTTATTGGATAAAACAGTAATTATTAACATGATGTGATTCCAAGCTTTTGCATGGATATATTTGTTTGTATCTACTTGTTACACTCACTGAACACAACTGATATCTAAATCAGTCCTATCAAATGGTATCTCATGTTACTTTCTTTTCAGAAATCTGAGAAGTGAAACTCAAGGCTTTCACAGTACAGCCCTCTGCTGGTGTAATATTGTATATAAATGAAGTGCTGTTGATATTTTCTGTTTTGTTTATTAGCTCTTACAGAGAACTCATGCATGACTCACAGGAGACTTCCTGCCTTTGACTTCCTCGTTATCAATAAATTGAAGATCTGTGCTTTTAAATTGAAACTGTTGTTTTCACACAAAGCAGCAGTGACCCAAATGTGTTTGAATTTGCAGAAGAGTGGACGACAATATGGCCGCTTCTGTCTCGCTGGTGACGAGTTCCTCTTACTACAGCACGTCTGCACCCAAAGCTGAGCTGCTGATTAAGATGAAGGACATGCAGGAACAGATGAAGGAGCAGGACTCTGAGGATGAGCTAGACTATGACCTGTCCAACAAGAAGGTACAGCCAACCCCCCAAAGAGCCTCTATAATCATAATGACCTTTCAGTACTTACTAGATGCCAGTATTATCTCCTTAGCCTTGTGTAGCTCTGGACCTGTAATAATTTTAATCATTTTTTAACTATTTTAAAAGTCTAGAGTTTTTTCTGTTATGCTGTACTGCTTAAATGCAGTTATATAATTAATTATGTTTTGTATCAACTGGTACAAGTCTATGTTTTTTTTTATTTCTTTTTGAGTCAAAAAAAGAAAAAACAAAGTAATAATAGTGTTTGACTTGACAATGACTGCCTAGAACTACAGTCCTATTGTCAGTAAATAAAACTTGCCTGTGTATGTGAATACAGTCCAGGTGCATTGTCAGATTTCCTCCTTTTGTGTCCCTACAGCAAGAGCTGATCGACAGCCTGAGTAAAAAGCTACAGGTGTTGCGTGAGGCCAGAGAGAGTCTTCAGGAGGACATGCAGGACAACAATGCCCTGGGCGAGGAGGTGGAGGCCACTGTGCAGACTGTCTGCAAGCCCAACGAGCTGGACAAGTTCCGCATGTTTGTTGGGGATCTGGATAAAGTGGTCAGTCTACTGCTGTCCCTGTCAGGCAGGCTGGCACGTGTGGAGAACGCACTCAACAACCTGGAAGAGGGGGCCTCATCCGAAGAGAAGGTAACAATGTCTCTATTTCTATAGATACATTTTCCCCCCAAAAAAGATTCCAGCGTAGGTTTTCATAACATCTAATACATATAATACATATTACATGTAATATATTACAGATCATTTTCATTTCCACAGCCTACTTTAATAAACATTTTGAAGTTTTGAACAATGTTTTGTAAAAATCTGTCATTTGGATGGTAATGTAGCTGCTATTGGCATTAAAAATTGACAAAAGTATATCATATGGCTGCAACAGTAGCAACATCCATCTTGAACACAGAGTTTGTCATACAGTGAAACCACAGAAGTAAGTGTATTTGAGATAACTTAATAACTTGAAATGGTTTGAGGCACATGTCTGATGATTTAGGCATGTAGTTTGCGCATACTAATTATTACTTGTTAGTTACCTTAGCCTCATAGCTCCAGTTAAAACCTAAAGAAAAGGCTCCTGTAAAAACAATTCTTTGCAAAATGAATTACATATAAGGTAAGGGGGAAACTGGTCAAACTAACCCTTTAAAATATTTTGAGTTGAGTCGTTCCTTGTTTGTTCTGACTGAGTGTCCCTGTGTGCAGCACACACTGATAGAGAAACGGAAGTTGCTGATTCGCCAACACGAAGACGCCAAAGAGCTGAAGGAGAACCTGGACCGAAGGGAGCGTGTGGTTTACGACATCCTGGCCAGCCACCTGAGCGAGGAGCGCCTAGCGGACTACCAGCACTTTGTTAAGATGAAGTCAGCTCTCATCATTGAGCAGCGTAAGCTTGAAGATAGGATTAAACTGGGAGAGGAGCAGCTCAAGTGTCTGAAGGACAGCCTGCCTCTGGAGCAGAGGCTGCGCTACTGAACCAAGAAACATTCACTTTAATCTGTGCTTAGAGGGGATCACTAGCACGGCTCTACAACATACTGGACTGTACTGGACTTTGTGATACTGATATGGCAGAATGCTGCAATACACAAGTTAACCCTCTAACCAGTGTATTATGATGTGCTGTGAACTTCCTGACCAACCTCAGATGATGATCCAACTAATGTAAATCATTTTGGGCAAAATTAATGCAGGCTATTCACCAGTGTGTTTTAATATATTGTAAATGATATCAAAACGCAAGATGTAGCAAAATAATCGCGATATGGAATTTCGTCCAGCCCTCATCACTACTATCTTCAGCACCGTGGCAGTTTCCTTTGTGCACACAAAGCCTTGGCCTTCCCGGGATTACACAAGTAATAGCAGTACTGAGTAGACTGGTCAGCTCTTAATGACATCATCAGGGGCTGAACTATTGATTGAGTTCTCTATCAAATGTGTACACTTTCAGAGGATATTTATGACTAACTCATACCATGCCAGTGGTGGTGATAGGAACCAGACATCTGAAGACTTCAAAGTCTCTAAAAGCTCCCTGACAGAAGTTATTAGGTAAAATGGTTATAAACATGCTGCCTGATGCCCGAAACATTGGTTTATGATAGTTTTGATAGGAGGTTTTGGACTAAAACATATTTTTTATACCCCATTCATATCAGAGGGATACACACAAAGCATTGTAAGGCAAAATAGTCCCTAAAGAAAACTTTTCCCCCCAAATTTACAGCAATTTTATCATTTTTCACATTATATTTAAAACTCCCGAGAAGTGTAGGTTCACTGGTCCTCATGGATTGTAAATAAAATGCCTATATCTGTGTTGTAGACATAGTGACCCCTGATTCTTATCACCACCACTTTAAAGAAATCTGAGAAAATTTGATTGACTTTGTTTACACCTCAACAAGTGAATTACACAAAAAAATGAAAAATGAATAGAATTTTTAACTTGAAGAGTCTCTCAAGCAAACATAGGTTTGAAAACTCATCTCAGTTTTGGTATTATTACGTTTTAGTCGCTGGTCTTGCATGTAACAACAATTTCAGCAGCATTCTTAGCCTTATCTGAATGGATCTGTGAATATTTTTTGAGGGCATGTGTTATTTAACCAGTTTTCTTCTCAAAAGACATTTCCACCCAGAGGTGGTGCATTTGTATTCTTTTAATTATTTATTTTTTTAGAGAGAGAAATGACCTAAGTGGAGTGTTTAGACTTCACTTCAATGCGTTTTTAGTATACTGTACATTCAGAATATAATAATGTTTCATCAAAAGTGTATTATCATGTTCATAAATGAAGATGTTTCTATGGCCTGGCATTATATTTGTAGCATTTCACCTATTTGCAGCTAATATATATCTCTTAAGCCTTGACTTTATCAAGCTCATACAGTGCAATGAATCTGAAAAAGCTACCTTTTTTCTTTGTACAAAATCAGAAGCCACTCAAATGTCCAGTCAAAATGGCCATTAAGGACAAGTTCAGAAGGTGTTTTTTGAAGACATTAGGTAGACGATAATCCACTTGAATAAGGAAGCGGAAAGTCAAAGGAAAATATGTGAAAAAACAAAACAAGTTAAAATAACTGATTAAAAGATACAGAGTAAATGGGGCTCCTAACAGCTGTGTAAGACCTGCTAAACCACCAAAACTGTCCCCATCAGATGAACAATATATAAAGCTTTCATTTTTGAGAGAGACGAGAAAATAAAACTCCACTCTTGATTCAGATCTGAAAAAATCCGCAGGTGTTTCTGTCCATCCTTCCACTGTGAGAAGAAACAACACAAGTCTAAAAGTATGTGTAGCTGTCAAGAAAAAGGAAACAGACAATAATAAAACTTGTTGTTCTCAGAATAATTGACTGACCACCAGAGAGCCCATCACTCAATGTCTTTGGCATAATTTGAATCATGAGAAGCAGAAAATGCAACCAACTTCTTAGACTGAACTTTGGGGGTATGGAAAAATATCCCTGTAGATTTCTCTGAAAAACTGAAAGCAAGACTCACAAAAAGAATGGAAGCTGTGATAAAGACAAAGGGCTCAGTAAATACTAAAAATGATAATATATCTAGTTGTTCCTGTATCTTTTTTATTGAATATGTTTTCTGATGCTGAAAAAGGAATAACTTGTTCTTGATGGCTGTTTTGACTGGAAAATCAATTGTGTTCTCTGACTTGTATGCTAGACTGAATAGTGGAGGAAATCCATTTTTTCATTTGAGCAGAGTGCGACGTAGCCCTCCTTAGTCCAGTTATCCCAGAATTTCTACAAAGCTTCCTGGAATAACCGTCACTTCCTCAAAGTCTTAAAGAGGCTGGGTGGGACCAAGTCACTGTACAACCACAACTGGAATACCATTAGTTTCAGAAGAACTTTATTTAAGCTCCCAATGCTCAGACACTGTCCCTTCTCTGTTAATGTGAATGAGAACCACAAACACATGGAGCAATAAACTGTACATACTGAAATACGCAGTGTGCTTCTACCACAGTGACAGTATTAAATGATGAGGATGACAGCCTTTAACTGCAGTTTGGTTTTTTTCTTCTTTACTCAACAACCTGCAATGCCAAACTACCAACATAGTTTTGTGCTCTAACTGTAGATTTCCACACTGAAGCTTTATAGCTTAACAGCAGATCTTTATCAGGATTTTATTGTCCAGTAGCATGCTGCTCTGACCTGACAGTCTCTGTAGGCGTAGATGTTATGATGATATGACTGAGGACGTCACCAGCACCTGGGCGAAGTGAGTATCCACAGTCAATCATTGACAGAAACGCAGTTGTGCCTTTATTTACTCTCAGTCTCTTAGAGGAGGAAGTGAGGTTTTGTGGAGCTTTCAGCAGCAACGTAAAGGATTCTCATCACAAGAACTGTTTTCAGATTGTGGTAAGGCAGAAAAAGCTTTCAGATATTATTTTCTATTTGTCTGGATGAATTTTTTAGTTCTGTCAGATTTGATGCACATCGATGGAGTAGTGTCTATCAGATGGGCATTTCTGTTGTGTGGTTTGGTGTCAGTGTTGTATGTATACACCCGTATAAGACTGAAAGCTGAACAACTGCTTCTCACCAGGGGTTGTTTTTCTTGGTACAGTTGATAAAAAATATGTTGTAGTGTCCAGTATTTTATAGTGGCTTATTTCTACAGATAAGTTCTATTTATTTTTAAAATTAGAAGTAACTTCTCAGTTTATTCAGTATGTGGTAATATATAAAATAAACCCTTAAAAGACTAGAGTTATTGTCAATTTGCTACACAACTTCAGTGTAATTACATACTTAAATGCATCGTTAGTGGGGGTGGGTGTTATGGCAAAAATATGACAATACTCCTTGACACGCAATACATATTATAATATTTAAGTTGGCTTGAAAAAGCCAAATTACTGCTCTTCATTTTCTTCTAATTATTCTATGGTCAAAAATTTGCAAAGCCACTACTTCTACAGCTTTTGAGCTAGAACCACAAGATGTTGCAGGATTGTGGAGCCTATACCGAATAGGTTGCTTGTGCTTGTTTGGGATTCGACTGTGTTTGTACAGCATCTGTTCAACCATTTTTTCACTGTAAGAATGAATGGGCCCAGCATCACCATAGGAACCACTGGGTTAGCATAGCAATGGCATGGCAGCACCTGAGCAACCACCTGGGATACCATAGCAATGGCCTAGTAACACCTTACCAACTACTTGGGACACCATAGCAACAACCTAGCAACACCTTAGTAATCACCTGGGATAGCATAGCAATGGCCTATAAACACCTTAGCATCTACCTGGGATGCCATAGCAATGGCCTAGCAACACCTTAGCAACCACCTGAGATAGCATAGCAGTGGCCTATAAACATCTTAGCAATTACCTGGGATGCCATAGCAATGTCCTAGCAACACCTTAGTAACCTCCTGGGATGTCATAGCAATGACCTAGCAGCACCTTAGCAACCACCTAACAACCACCAAGCAAACTTATGTATGCAATGCTGCACTAAATTCAGTTAAACAGCACTAATTATGCTCTCTTTGTGAAATGAAAACTGCAGTTGGTCAGTGTTCCTTAAGTACCAGTGATGTTGGCACTATGGTCAGAAAAGCATATCGTGGTGTAATTTATCACAATAACAAAACAATATTATCATATTTCCCACCCACACTAGCTATATAATGAATTACATTTACATTTGATTTACATTCTTGATCGAAATATTCAAGTTTGGACATACATTTCTTTCAGTGTCACTCAGTAACAAAAACATGGCAAAATGTAAAGGAAAGCAAGATGGTGCACACACCAGTAACTTTTCATCAAATTCATATCGAATATCTCCTCCTCTACTGGTGTGGATTGAAAGTCTAGAATCCGTATTTTCCACAGAATTTCTCCACACGTTTTAGTTAAACACAAGTAGGAAATAATTCATATAAAATCACTTCATGCCTTTGTTATTGCTGGTGATGACTTCTGAGGGGTTTATGTAACATGCTGGCTGTACTTCTATAAGCATTTTGACTTTCAGGTTTGCAGCATTAGTTCCCCACCTTTCTTTGTTCAATCCCAACATGAATGGTCCGAGACTGGAATGTTTCCTGTTGCTTGGCACTTGCCTGTTGCTTGGTGTGGTCTCTGCTCTATGGAGCTTTTGTTTGTGTATTGTTTTCCTGTGTATTTGCTTTTCTTCACAGCATCAGTCTGTTGAACTAATTGAGTGCGTACTGCCTCTCTCTCTCTCATGCGCTCCCTCTCCATCTCCATCTCTCTAAGGGACGCTGGTGGTTTGTTTGCGAGGTTTCTTGGAGACAGGGAGGAGAAAAACGACGTCCTGAAAGGTAAGCTCAGCCTATTTGGGGAAAGAGACGAATTATTACGGGCCTGGGCTACTTATCAATTGCACTATGCAGCTGTTATGGTTTATGTATCATTCAGTTCATCAACTCAGGTCTGTATCCTCTTGCTCTACTTACATTCTTATGTGTCTTACTGTCTTTTTCTATGTAGTTATTGTTGGGCTTTGAGTCTAGTCTTGCACTGTTGTGTATTTATTGTACTGTAATTTAGTATTGTACTGTTTAATTGCACTACATGTAGTCTATACTCTATATCTTGGTCTTTTTCGCTTATTTTCCTTTGACTTTCTTCTTAATGCACGTGGATGATCTTATATATATAGTCTCCTCAGAAATATCTCATTTAGGCATTTTAGAGATTCACATGAGAAAAATCTTGAAGGCAGCTGAGTTACGTTCGGGTAGTTACTCGTGTGAATGTTAGTGTCTCTTTGAATAAAAGTAAAGAGAGGACAGGCTAAATACTGATAAATTTGATATATAACACTTAGTGTTGGAGGCTTTTGTGAATAACTTGTACTTAATGGATGTTTGAGTGGAAGTTAAACAAACAAATAGGTGGTATCTGACTTTTGCACAGTACTGTATATGGCTGAAATGGCGAAGTTCTTCTTGAGTCCTCGATTTAAAAAAAGTTTTTCACAAACACAGATCACACTCAGGAAATAGGAGGATCCCCCTGACCTGAGAACCGGACGTGTGTCCCAGGGGCAGAATGAAAGTTGGAGAGTGAGAGCTGGAGGCCCTGCATCATGCCATACCTGGTCCACACCGCCCATGCCCAGTTTGTGGGGTTATGGGTGGGCGCGATTGGCTGGATCCTCACCATGGTGGCCATTGGGCTGGTTCAGTGGAGAATATGGGTTGTGTCTGATCTCACCTTCATCAACTCTGGCCAGGCCTGGGTGGGCATCTGGAGGACATGCTTCTACACCCACGTCCTGGTCACGTCCGAGTACGAGGTCATGTACTGCCAAAAGATCCACCTTTCGGACACTTTCACACCGAGCGAGATTGCAGCAGCTCAGCCGATGATGCTGCTGGCCCTCATTCTGGGGCTTTTTGGTAATTCCACCGTCATTTATGGCCTGAGGAACATCTACTTTGGCCTGGATAAGCAGAAACCTATCACGTTGGCCTTTTCGATTGGCGGGGGACTTTTAATTCTTGCTGGGGTGAGCTCTTTTATACCTCTCTTCTGGAATTTAAACTCTGTGGCGACCAACCAGACCATAGACTTCCCCACCAACTTCTACATGCCCCCAGCTCCTGTTGATCAGTATGTTGGGCCAGGTATCGCCATCGGCATTTTCGCGTCCATCCTGGTGGTGGTAAGTGGGATGGTGTTTCTGTCCTACAAGTTTCCAGAAGGTCTGAGAACCAAAGCTGAACCTTCTTGCCTTGAGGAAGGCCACTCAGAACTGGGAGAAAATGGGATGACACTGTCCCTGAGATCCACACCGACGGGAAACCAAGAAACAAAGAGCTGCTATGGAGTGGACAACCTAGCCTTTCAGTCATAGCAAAACACCTGAACATGATTCCTTCAAGTGCTTACTTCCAAATGCCTCAGCTAGGGGTGCAAATATCTGACCTGATAATGTTTTAATTACATTAGGATTTGATTGTTTAGGAAACGACCCAATACATCATTAAATCTCAGATTTCAATTAGTTTGATAATATTCACAAAAATCTTTCTAAATACACTATATACAGATGTGACTGATGGGGAATTATTTACACAATAGCGAAATATAGATAATAAAACTATTACAGCGAGGTTTTTCTGTTTGAAAATAACCCGAATGGCCATAAAAGGAATTACATATTTCTTTGAATACAATTATAATAAATTCTGATCTCATTTATTCATCATATTCAAAGCCATGCATCAAAGTATTTTTACAGGCCTTGCATTTTCTCACTGTACCACTTTAAAAGCACTTATAAATGTCTGATAATATGAATTCCTGTCAATATGCCGTTGTTGTATTAGTGGGAAATTGCGCTGGATTGTTTACAAGAAGGTTGGAGTGTGAGTATGAGTATGGTTAGTGTCATCTTTGGAGTGAGAACAGTAGTTGGGAAGTTTTCCGCACACAGCTGAGTTTTTAATGATTTGACAATTAACACTCTTCCGTTAAAGGGGCACTCTGGTGAAATGAAAAACGTACCCATCCCTGCATATGTCGTACACATGCCTTCTTGCAACCTACACCAGTGCCGTTGGAATCTCTAAAGTAAGATTTTCCAATTTAAGGACTAGGAAAACTCCCTTTAGGTGTTGTGTCAGAGGTAGAAGGAAGCGGCAACTGCTTTGGTGTAGATTTTTGGGACTGGGCTGTTTTTTTTCTCTCTAGCTGGCAATTACAAAAAGATGGCAGATAGCTAACATTACTGCTAGCAAGCTGAATATCTTATTACAATTGTATAACTGTGGTAGCAGTTTTCAAATCACCATTACAATGAACAGAATAGACTACTTAAACGACAGAAATTGCTTGCCAGATGAAGAGGACAACAAGCTAAAAGCTGAAGTTAGCAATGTAGCTACCTGGCTATCTAGATGCTTTATCTTAGTTTGGCTTCTTTTCTCTGGCGGAAAGGGTTAAAACGCTGCTGTACATTTTGAAAAATAAAGATAACAGAATAGAAAAGGTGAGAATTACACTAAACCTTGCTTGGTTGTATTTATTAGCCTGTAGATCAGTGGCTAGGCTTAGTAGGCTACCAGGATTGGATGGCACCACAGGGATTCCCAGTGATGCATGCTGGATATTGTAGTGAGAGAGAACATCGATGAACGATATAACATGGTGAATTCTGTCAAAGTGACATGGCTGAGGTTTACAGAACTCTGCATAACATGACAAATAACATATTAAACTCTAGTTTTGGGCTGGAGTGCCCCTTTAATCACAGCTATGTAACCATCTCAGGGAGCCCTACATATAGTCATACGCTCAGCTTTAAGACAAGTTTACTTTGGCCCTTAGTAAGTTTGTTGTCTTTCATGAAAACGTAATGACAGAGCTATGCACTAGAATGTATTTTTGCAAGTGTTCAATGTGTTTTTGAGATGTATATATTTTTGTGTCATGCAGGTTTATAAATGTGTACAGATTTATATCTTATTTAAAAATTTGTCTCGATAGCAGTGCTATGTGATATTTTAAATGACTGATGTAAGTGAAACAAAATGTGCATGAAGTGAATGAAAGTGAACATGAACTGCTGTGTTACTGACCTGTTATGTTGATTTAACATAGTAATTATTACACATGTTTATTTAATAGCTTACTATGAGTAAGCAATTGTTGCAAACTGTTTCGAGATATAAAAAATTAAAAAAAGAGTTCTGTTTACCTAAATTGCTTTCAGAGCCACTTATTTATTGACTGTTAGTAACTGTTAGTTATTATTTAGTTAGATATGTGAGTTATACTTAATGAGGTTCCCAAACTGATTCACAGCAATGAAAAATCCAGTAAAAATCAGACAGACTGAGGGAGGAATTGAATCAACTCTTACATGATATTCTGCAAGTCTGATGAGTATAATATTTAAAATAGATGGGTTAGATGCTATATCTTACTTTTTTCTATTTTACTTTACATTTTTGCGGGTTGACCAAAACAGTTGTAATTTATGACCATTTTCCAAACTAGTCCTAACAGTCTAAACTCCAAAGTTTGTTTTTGTCACTGTGCCTTTAAGAATGCTATATGTAAATTAACTCTGTTCTGATTGGCTGACCTGTGTTGTGCCTCATTGAAATAAAGCCTAGGCAGAAACACTCCTTATAACTTCACCATGAATGGGTGGATGAATGTGTGGATGCGGATGTATGTAAATGTGTTGTTTTTTGTGACATCACAAAAACAACAGACATATATGGACTATAGCATAACTGTACATGATACATTCTGAAACATTCTGAAGAATGTTTAAATACTTTATTAGTGCCTTTTTTAAATTGAGGAAAATAGGTTTACCTTGATATGGGCCCTTTAATATAGTTATTGAAGTTTTTTCCTTTGATCAAACATAGTTGGGTGGATACTGAAGAAGGATGATTTGTGTTTCTTAGATATTTGCTTTGATGTGGTATTACTAGAGAAGTTGGGTTGGAGGGGTTGGGGGGCTGGGGGGCTAAACTGCTGTAGTTAATAATTTAATAATAGGTTTTGTGACATCACTAAAACAATTTATTCAAAACAGGCTGTTTAGTTTCCATATACAGACTGTATGGATTTTTTACATTTTGGAATGTTTACATATTCCTTTGAAATTTGAATATTCCTCACTTTTTCTGTAAGTTATATGCGTTCACATGCGTTTTCCATGATATGGGCTCTTTAAATGAAAGTTCAGAAAACCCTGAGCAATAGATGGCAGGTGTGTTCTTAAGTGGTTGGTGTGTGTTTGCACAGTGAAACTGAGCAAAATGATGTATTATACAAAGGGTGTATTTGCAGCAGATGTGGCTAATTATACTGTGTAGGTGCGGACTCCAGTTCGGTTTTGATTAGGTTTTATTCTCCAGATCCATATGACATGGGTGTGGGGGCCCTGGTGCGTATACTGCAGTCTTGGACCCCTGCTTCACATGGTGTAAGTGTGGGCTCCTGATCCACGACCTCTTTAGGGTCCCTGCTCATGTGAACCAGCGTGGAGGATGGCAGCGGCAGGGCACGTGAGCCCTCTCATAGCGGCACTAATTGTTAGGCTGGAAGTCCAGTGTACGCCAAGCCAGTTCTGTCTGTGCTTAGCATTGTGAACAGTCTGATGCTGGCAGAACAAAAAGGCCTTTCTCACTCAGTGGGCTGGGTGTCTCGGAGGCCGGGGCAGGACCCCGATGATTTCTGCTCAGCGTAGAGCATATTTTTGCAAGGGGCACAACCTCACCAGGTTTTTTATCATTACCTAATTTTGTCTTTATCAGCCTCTATACAGTTTGAAAGGCTGTAAGTAGCATGTTTGCATTTAAAATGGCCATTTTTGAGACTACTTAGCCCCATCAGCTATCAAATAAGGCTATTTAAAGGCATGGCCATTGGCTTTGGAGTAAGTTACCTGACGTTAGTTTTTTGCAACAGCAAAACAAATTAATCCTCTTCGACATCTTACCACCAAAACAAAAGTAAGCACACTGTCTAGACTAGAACCCTAAATAAAACAACGTCACAAGCAGACATTGCAACGGCTAATTAGCCTGCAAACATTACCTAGCGCAGAAGCTTGCTACTACTGTCGGACTGGAGTCCCTCTGAGCCCCCTCTGTTAGGTTCAGATTGTGAAATTAACGTAATGTAAAATTATTATCTGTCCAGTAGATGCAATGTTGATGTTTCTCTGACAGCTTAGCTGTTGCAGTGGGTCTTCAGAACTCAGGTTTGTGCTACACTGTAAAAAATTATTCAATGGTTAAACTTAGAAAAGAAAGTAGTCTGGTTGCCTTAAAATTTTGAGTTCATTAACTTCAAATAATTTAGTTAACAGAATTTGAAACACATATTATTGTTCTGTTACTGTTAGAAGTTAAATGAACTCAAAATTTGAAAACAACCAGGCTACTTACTTTTTAAGTTAAAATCATTTTTCACAGTGTAGATATACAACACTAAGCTATACGGAAATCTGATAGATGGCTATTTTTGTGCATATCTTTGCTTTTAAATATGAAATGATTTAGATGTATCAGGGAACAATATTTTTATGGTCTAATGATTTTGTTGCATAGCTTACAATGAGGTTGTGTTCAGAGTTTAGTTATATTGATGTTATGCTAAATTTCACTTCATTAGGAAATATGTGGAAGAAACAAAGAAGATGCATCAAAATCTTATATTACATAATATGAAGATAGCATGTATAAGTAATATATGCGTTCATGTATGAATAATGTGTTCTATTTTATATTGTTAAACGTATGTGTTACATATGTGTTTGAATATGTTGATATACATCTGAAATATATGTTCTATATCTGAAAATGGCCAATTTTAAATAATAATAATAATAATAATAATAATAATAATAATTATAATAATAATAATAATTATAATAATAATAATGAATTTTATTTATATAACACTTTTCATGCTGGTGGCAGCTCAAAGTGCTTTACAGACAGGTGATAAAACATAGTTATACAAGAAATTATAAGTATTAATTTAGAATCATAAGAAAATGACAGGTCAAATTAAAAGATAAACACCACAAGACATAGAGTTTTAATTAAATGCTTAGTTAAAGAGCTGCATTTTTAGATGCTTCTACCTTAAAAACTAGTAGCAGAACTTTAAAATCTATCATGAACAGTACAGGCAGGCACAGGCAGTGAAGTTCTTTTAAAATGGGAGTGATGTTACCTTAGGATGCTGCTGCATTTTGTGCGAGTTGTAAGGGATGTATTGCTTTTGTAGAAAGTCCAGTAAGAAGAGCATTACAGTGATCAACTCTGCTTGTAACAAATGCATGAACAAGTTTCTCTGCCTCGCTCTGAGATAGAAAAGGCCGAACTTTAGCGATACTTCTCAGATGATAGAAGCTACTTTAGTGACTGCGTTTACATGCGAGATAAAACAGAGCTCACAGTCTAAGATCATAATAAGTTGGCATATATGTATAACACATATATTTAACACATATGTCCATATGTAACAAATATATCCAATAGTTGGATTTCATGGAAATCCATGTATGCAAACGTGTTATTTATTGGAGCTCCATATATTGCCATAAATCAGATTTCTGTATGGGTACACTGACAAGCAGACATGCCCTTTGTCTTGGTTAGATTTTGGTGGTTCATAAATAGATTTTGGTGACTGAAGTTTTTTCTGGGTATGTATTTTATCAATAGCTGCCAGAATGTGAGGAAAAAGTTTGCCAAAAGGTGTTATGAATTAAAATTACTAATGCTTTTAACAAACTACTTTAGCAACTTATTTTCGGTGATGCTAGCAATCCCAAGCTTCAGGTTGGAGGCTCTCAAAGACACCCAAGGACTGTGTTAACCTGTCATGACACATAAAGTTACATTTTTGGTTCCGTAATTTTTTTTTCTTAACTACTCACTGAATATGTGTTGATTTGTGTTGATGGAGTGATTTATGCATTCAAATTATACACCATAAAAGCTTGTGACTCTGCTTCTGACTCAGGCTGCAGGTTTGGCCTTACAACATCTATGAATGTCATAGTAAATATCACCTTGGTGATTACTGAATCAGCGTCTAAATCTCGGCGTCTCTGGGTTTCTATGATTGTCTGCTGGAAAACACCATGTCATGATCTTCAGCTGTGCAGTATTAACCGAGACGTTGCTTTTGTTTTCACTCTTTCTCCAAAGCAAATAATACCTTTGGGTCAGAACAAAATCCTTCCATTGTGTCTCACGAAATGACAGGTGGTCAATATCTTTTTCATTCTCTGTCTCCAAACTGCAAAGCATGAACTCAGTCTGCTTTCAGTGTTTAAATGATAGAAATGGAGATACAGGATAGTAAAAGGAAAAGCTTCGTCACTCTTTTGTCATGTGATTCCTGGGAAGGAAATAAAACTTAACAGTGATAAGGAGAACAGAGCACAAAGCCAGTATTACGCACTTATGATATGCTTTATTTGGAAAGGGGAATTGTAAATGACGTGTTTAGTGGCCAGGTCATACATGGAGGTTTGTAAACTTGTGACGGCAGCTATGTATCAGGAGGTTTTATCAGTTTCTATAGTATCAGTGACTTTTTCCCCCTTTAATATAGAAAATGCACTGCATTTCCTGAACAGAGAATTCCTGCTCTGTCTCAATGGTAAAACAAAAAAAAAAACAATCAATTAAACTCAAGTAATGAATAAAATGTGCTTTATTGATAAATCAGTAATGGATTGTTGGCGTTTTGTATGTTGAAAATGCATATTTTAAATTAAATTCTCCTTCATAGTAAAAACAGCCTGATGGACACCCAATATACATTTTGGGGTAGATTGGACATATGATATATAGTCTTTTTAATATATTTGCAATAAACTTATTTAGCCTTTAAAGCATTTCAGAAACTTTGAAATCTATGAAAGGTTCAATGTTGAAATTTTGTAATAACCCTGATTACTCAGTTGAATCAGCCATACTCCAGGGGTGGACAAAGTACTTTGACTATATGTGAATAAAAGAAGAAATACACACACACACACACACACACACATATATATATATATATA